CTCCATGACTCCAATGAGATGGCAGTCCTGAACGGCACAGAGACCTTCAGGTTCTCCTCATTGTGACCCATTGTGCTGGTTTTGGCTGGGGTAGAGTTAAATTTCTTCATAGTAGCTAGCATGGTGCTATGTTTTGGATTTGGAAAAAGGAGGAAGGAGGGGATGCTCTGAATGATGGCATTTGTCTTCCCAAGTAACTGTTAGATGTGATGGAGCCCTGCTTTCCTGGAGATGGCTGATCAACTGCCTGCTGGTGGGAAGCAGGGAGTGAATTCCTTGTTTTGCTTTGCTTGTGTGAGTGGTTTTTGCTTTACCTATGAAATTGTCTTTATCTCAACCCATGAGTTATCTCACTTTTACTCTTCTGATTCTCTCCCCTATCCCACCAGGGGGAGAGTGAGCAAGCAGCTGCGTGGGGCTGAGTTGCTGGCCAGGGTTAAACCACAACACCCATGCTGTGGGCAGTCGTGTACAGGCACTTCAGAGAGGTGCCCATTTCCAGAGAAGATTACAAAAGCTCTCCTCATACTCCTGGCTAACAGGCATTTTCCTGTTTACTGGATGCATGCAGGATGGACAACCTTCAGCTCTGATCTGTTCTCAAGGTCTCAACATAAAAGACTTTTTGTTCATACACTGTTTATCAGTTTCATAAATGCACATTTTCACATCTTTGGTACATTTCAGGTTTTTCCTGTCACTAACATTGTAAGTTATTTTCAGCATTTTCTTCCCTCATTTTCACATCACAGTGCCTTTAAGTTAAGCATAAATGATGGTTTGAGCTAGAATGAATTCAGATGTAAAAATAGATGGGGTGGATGAATTCACTTGCAGCAAGGCAAAGCAGTCTTCAAATTCCTCTTTTTGGAGGGGCCTAGTTATTCAAGCAGAAGTCAAAGTTTTCTTAGAGGAAGATGCAATCATACACTGCTTGCAACTGAACATGCAGTGAAGTGAAGCAGGGTTCCTTGAAATGACATAACCACCTGTTGCAGTGTACAGTATTTCAATTTGAGTCCCCTTGCAGTGTTTTCTGTATACTGAATTTAATCCTCATCCTGTGTGGAAACTGGAGAACATACCTATCATGTGAAGGAATAATTGTGAGCATCTTTCCTATGTTCAAGAAGACTAATTTAGTGTACGGTAGTAAGAGGAAGAGGGGAACAATTTATGTAACTGCCTTTCCAACACAAACAGTCTGTTCAGCATCAGTTACCCAGGCAATATTCATCTCACACAAATCCTTTGATTTAAGGAGCATGTAACATGCAGCACTCAGGTCAATTTGTCTTATCTACCACCCACTTTATAGGACAGCTTGTTGTATGTGTTCCTTGTGGTATGTCTTGGACAGCCACCCTAGCAGTAAGGAAAGTCCTTTTAGGACTACCTACCCTGCAGCCAGGATCATCAGCTGCTAGCAGACCTCTGCATGTGTGAGTGTGTCTTGCCTTCCTGCCCCATTGTCCCCAAAGGGATTAAAGGAAGAGGCAAGGGTCTTGGCAGCCTTTTTGGGTGTCAGAGTATTCCCAGAGCCAGGAAGAGACTGTTTGACTGCATGCTCTTGCAGCAGGCTTGCGTGGACTCTGAGCTGTGGTCTCAGCTTATAACAGAGCTCAAATATTCTGGAGAGACATGAACAAAAAGCAAAGCATTACACTGAAGTACTGCCCAGGTCCTGTATCAGGAAAACATGCAGGAGCAGTCCCAGGCAGTTACTAGCCCAGGCCAGTGCATAACCACTCTTGCCTCCCTCTGCTCAATGTCTGCCCAGTGGCAACAGGAGGGTCATAAGAGAGTAAAGTGGCCTCAGTCTTTGCATCTCTCCTGCCTCCCAGGTGTTTGCAGGGTGCTTCCTCTCAGTTGCTTCCGTCACACAGAGCATAGTCAGCACTTCTACACCAAAGCTAGTCCTGCTCAACTGCATGAAGACTTATGTTCAGTAAGTTGCTCCTTTTCCACCTCCTATGGCCACATTTCAATCTCTCCTTACAGCTGCCACACAGAATACACTGCCTGTAATGCTAAGAGTCCGCAAGGCTCTCAGCACACATAGTATTAGAGGATCAGCAAGGCTCTCAAGGGAAAGGGAGGATACCAGATTACATCCTGCAAGGTCCTAGTTAGAAACAGATGGCTATCTGCCAGAGCCACCATGAGAAAGCATTAAATCGCAACATCACAAACGTTCCCAGAGGTACCTGCATCCATGTTACTGATGTAGCTGCAGCTGATGCAGGCTTGGGGCAAGCGAAAGAGAACCCCGAACTTCGGTACCTGCTGCAAAAAGGCAAATTCTGACAGTTGTAAAAATGCAGCAAGGGGACCTCTTGCTTAAAGACAGCCACATATCCAGACATCAGTACAAAACTCAAGACAACTCTTGTCACACTCTTCACAGCTAACCAGGAAGATGTAGTTCTGAGTACCCTGATGGCAACCTGATCCAGCTGAGCCACAAGGGAGCTCAGCTGTAAGTGCTGTCTCTTCAGACCTGCTGTGACAGCCATACATTGTGCCAAACATCTGCTAGCTTTCTCCTCTCCCACTATCTACATAGACTTCAGGATCCCAGACACGGCTCCAGTGAGGGAGGCTTCAAGCCCTCCACTCAAACAGATCATCTACAAGTCATGCAGCTACACCAACCATCAAGAGAATGCCTTCTGACCCAACACCAGGAACTCCACACTACTGGAGAAGGGGGCTTGTGGTCCTGGCAAGCTGCTTCCAAGCCAGTAGCCATCAGTAGACACAGGCTAGTGCAGCAAGGCCAAGGAATAAAGGAAAACTCTCCCACCACACTAATATTCTCTGCTGAGCTCTGGTCCACCTTCTCCTTGACCTCTGCGCTAACTCCTTGTCTCTTGCAGGCTTGCTAAGCTGAGGCGTTGCAACTCTTGCATCAAAGCACCTCGCTTGCATGGGCTCTTTCTCACCTTGGCCAGTCTTCACAGTCCCGCAACACTACAGTAAAAGCGCTAAGCCTAAAGCAAGCACCGTCAGGCTTGTAAGCAACAACACCCACAACAGTTTTGCTGTATGAAAATGGTGATGCTAAACCCCACCCTTAAGAGATGATGAAGACACACACACACACAAGTTAACCAGTTAACCTTCTTTAAGGTCCCAGGACAACCCACCAATATCTTCCCCACCCCATGCCACCCCCACCCCCAGCTGGAAATGCTGAGACAGGGACCAGAGCTCTACAGTCACACAAACTGTCTTTCCAGCCAGAACTCCAGTTTCTGGGAAAATGCCCTGCAACCTTCCACCTTCTGCACACAAAACTTGCCAGTGTGCATGCAGAGGCAGGAAAATTAGGGGCACCTGGTCTATGCCACAGCTTCCACTTCTCCCAGCACTGGTGCACCACATGCAAACTACAGTACTTTTCTCAGAAATCCATGGCACAGGCAGAGGTGAAATTAGGAACCAAGCACGCTTCATAAACAAAAAAGCCATTTCTGAACTGTAACTGATTCTTACCTCTCCCATTTTGTTCCCTTCCATTCTGACCACTCCTGGGATGCTCTCCAAGTAGCCTTCCAGTGTGCCATGTCCTAGGTGCCTGAAGGGAATCCACTCACCGGTCAGGGATTTGTATTCATCCTGCAGCTCTGACAAAGGTACGCCTTTTTTAAAGGGATGAAGAACAGCTCGCAGTGTTTTTGCAATAAGTTCAGGCTCCTGCATCTTCACCTATAGCCCCTCCACCCCAAAAGAAAAAAAAACAAAACACAACATTTTTAAATACACAGGCTAAAAATACCAGTTTTTAATATTCAACCTCCCTCACCAAACAAGCAAGGATTTGGCAGCTTAGTGGCTCTTCTTTGGAGACCTTGATACTTCTGGCTAAACTTGTAGGGGCCTGGTCCTGCAAGCCAAGCAGAGGGTGGTATGAAACACACTGGGCACAACATTGTCAAACAAAGCAGCTGAAGAAGCACAGCATCCCCTGTGCATGGTCTGTCCCTGCCAGCCTATCACCACAGGCCATGTGGCCAGAAGAGGGGCAGGGCTGCCAGCCAAGTGGCCCCCATCACTGCCTGCAGCACCAGGACTTCCACCAGAACCTGGGCAGAGACCTGCCACCCCCACCTTTGCCCAGTGATCCTTCCCTCATGCCCCACTTCGATGCTGGGTAGCTCCGGGCCACTCCCCTCCCCCCACACGCCAAGTCCACACTAATGCCCACAGGGCGTGTGTCAGCTCCACCATGGAAACTGCATGCACCCAGGCCATGCCACATCTTACCCACAGGCGCATGACGCCTCGAGTCCAAGACACCTCTTCAGAGAGAAAACCCAAGAGAATTGAAACCCGCTCCCTGCAAGCCAGAGGTTGCACGAAGCAGGAGCACCAATAGCGCCAGTGGCAACACTGCCCTGTCACATCGCCAGTCAACCACCCTGTCTGGAGAAACACCTCGTCTTCACCACCCCAGCAACTAACATGCAACGCAATTAGAGTCAGTGGTTTGGGAGAAGGCGCCCCTCTCCCCTCACTGTTTCCCTTTTTTAGGGGAAGTCACCCTGGGCAACACACCAAGTCCAAAAGGAAAAGAAATCCCAACCCGCAGCACATTTCAGACGCCGTGCCACACGGTTCAGTCCATGCATGGACACTAACGCCGCCTCTACCATCCCGCACCCAAGTTCACAACAGCCCAACTCAGGTGCTGGGCAAGGAGGCACAGCCTTAAGTCCTATTCTTCACCATTCCTTGAGCCATTTTACTTCATGCGTACACAGCACTTTACTAACCTGACTGTGTCTCTGTGCCCAAACACCTGTATTTACACACAGGTGCACCCACGTACCTACACCTATACAGGCAGCACTGCCTATACGTGTGTTTACACATGCATGGTTCCTTACCCCAGCAATTCCTGCCCTTGCGGGTCCAGTGTCTTTCACTGACTGATCCTGGAACAGCCTCTACCACAGCTCCCTCCACGGCACCCCCTGCTCAACTGTGGGACACGGCATTTCTGTGCCCGGGAGGAGGAAGGAGCACACGCTGAATGCGCGCACTCGCACACCTCCGGACGGCAATGGGCGGCAGCCACGCCGGGCACATGGATCCTTCTGCCATCCTTTTAGAGCCTTAGCTGCTGGTGAACAGACCTTCAAAGACTGAGAGGAGGTGGTGGTCACCTGCTAGACGGAAGTCTGTATCTCCTTTGGACCCACTTGCGGGGATGTCATGTGTTGGGCAAACATGTAAGTCTCCACTTGACGTTAAGGTTTCAAGTGTATAAAAAAACAGCCCCCCAAACATTGAGGAGTGCACCAAAAATGCAGTTTTCTCTACAATTGTGTTCCAAGTCACACACATACAAGAGATACGGAAAAGTCAATGAAAAGCATTTCTGGGGCCTTGTTCTCTACTCTCTCTTTTAAATAACATACCCAAATTCTTCTCCTAAGTACGGCTTTTGAAAGTCCTCTTACCTGAACCACCTGAATTTCACTTACTGCTCAGGAAAAATTAACACAATATCCATTACAGCTGGGCAGACTGACAAGGAATAAAACTCACTATAACCTGGGAAGGCAGTTTCAAAGGTTGATTCAAAAGATGAAATTTCAATAAAAAAAGCAAGGGGTGGGGAGGTGGGGACAACATCAAGCCACCATCAGACAGCTCTGTAGTATGGCAATAATGAAGAACTGAATTAGATCCTAACTAGCAAACAGGATACCATAAAATATATCCTCCAAAATTATATTATTGGGAGCACTCATGACAATTCACTCAGTTAAACGAGATGACAGATACTAAGGTACAAAGGTTAAACCGAATGCAGTCTTCAACTTACACCTGAGCAGCATTCCCATTCCTACAGCTAGCACTAATGCAGACTTGCAATGCAGTAATGGTGACATGAAGTAACATACTGATACATTAGCAGAAAGCTAACATTTCAGAGCTTCTGATGCTTTTTAAAAATAATTTTTGTGGTCAGCTGCTGTAAGGTTAGGTCATTCAAAAGTTACAGCATTCGCCCAGCAGCTCAGGAGGACACTTCGTGGGAAGCACAGCCCACAGAGCCTCTATCAGTAAGTCAGGGCACATAAGCTCTCTGGCATCTGAACAGAAACTTTTTTCGATATGCTTAAAACAGATCACCAGCCTCCAGTTGCAAAATGGTCTCCACGCCGCAGATTACTACGCAGGCTAACAAGAAAAGGAAGTGAGGCTAGTTTTCCTGCTTAGAAGGATGAACTCCTTAATACCCATACGTAAAAGACTAGACACACAACCCAGCGGAACACGAGTCTCCTCTGAAGGCACAAAGTAGTCACTCAGCCGCTGAAGTCAGGACACTTTCTCCGTCACAACGGAGCCCCGGAGGAGAAGCAGCCCCTCGCTGACAGGCAGAGCCCGGCCCTCCACACTGCCTCTCCCCCCAGCCCGGGAGGGCTGACGCCCGGCGGGGGTCTTCTGTTTCCTTACCACCACCACC